GGGAAGGAGCGAAGGGCTGTGTGTTCAGCTGCCTGCCTGGTTAAACCACGACAGGAGGCTTTCACACTGGCAGCTCCACTCCTTGAGGATGTTGTCCATTCAAGCTGTGGCCTCACTGGTAACAATTATTTACCTTGAATATAAAAAGTCTGATGGCCAAGTCACAAAGCTTACACTCAGGGAATTAATTTCCCTGCAGTTGTCTTGATCGGGGGAGGGGGGGGGGGGGGCGGGTGCGCCATTTAAGCAAAGGTGGTAAGGAGGACGGTTGGCAAAGCACAAAGAACCCCAACCTGTCCCTTTGCAGCTGCCCACTTTCATATCCAGCTTCTTGTCCTTTCCAGTATATTCTTTCCTCCTCTCTTTCTTTTGCCTGAACTCTTAGTTTCATTTGGAGCAGAGGGTTTCAGGCTGATAGGTCTCTCTTTAGGAAGACCAATGCTTCCTCTTTTATAAAGCAAGATGTACTTTACAGCTTTCTACCCATTTTTTTAAATAGCTGAGAGATATACATTGTCCTTGTTCTCAAGCCCAGTTTGCATGGTTTATCATTGAGAAAGAGCCCGAGGATCATTGTTTATCATACAGCAAGCTACACGCTGTAACAGTCTTTGTCCTGGGCTTGTCCCCATCGTCCTAAGCAAACTAATACATGCTCAAAGGTGTGCATGCAGATATATTATTTATACAACTGTATTTCTTATGCCCTGCTGCAGTCTATTATCAGCTCACCAACTCACAGATGCAATTCAACAGAAACTACGCTGCTTCTCAACCTTTTCTTTACCTGTGGGCTTTTACCTGTGCAATCAAGGTTTTCAAAGACAGGAGGCGTCCTTGGAAGGCAGCGTCATGAAGAGGGGATCGGTCTGCCCAGCTGCCTGAAACAGCAAATGCATAAAAGTTAATTCAGGTAAGCAGCAAAAGCAGATCCTGGGAGGACAGGGAAAAAAACAGCTGTGTAAATGCAGATCAGGGCTGAAATCAATGTGGGGTCAGTGGTGAAACTGTTTGATAAATTGTTTTCAGCAGAGCAGTTGAGGGCTCAGCACTCCTGAGAAAGCTGGCCACTCGCTAAGGGACCTAAACAAAAGCTTCTTGGCAGAACTTTTAAAAACAGCTAAAAACATGCTTCAGCAAAGACCACAAGTTTAGTGCCGCTGGGGCTCACTCAGGGACTTCAGAGCCCCGCAGTTCTCCTATTCAAAACCATATCAGCCTCTGTCTTTCTTAGGGAGCCTTTGTCACAAATCCTATTCCAGCTTCTCTTGCACTTCGTTAAGAGACTCATAGCAGGGAGACGCGGGGCTGACTTGCCCGTCAAATGGATTCTGGCATGTCCCTGGCAGTTTTATTTCCTGAACTGACAACTTCATAAATAATATCCTCCAGCTCAGGCTACCAGGTAACAGGTTTCATCCTTCTCCTCACTGGAAGATTTCAGAAAAGACATGGAAAAATAAATTCTGCCTGAGGGTTTACTTTTCTTCCTTAATAATTTTGAGTTGTTGAACTGTTCAGACTCCTTCATGTAGGCTAGCTCGCCCTTTTTCTTATCTTAATCTATACATGTGCCAAGAAAAAAAATTCCTTAGCCTAGCTACTACCTACAGGCATAGTCAGTCAGCCCACGTTAAATCCCTGCAACTCAGGTAGAGAGAAAATTTACTTGTCCTACATTAAAATTTATAACCATATCACGACACAGTGTGTAGTAAGTATTTCTCCAAAGGCCAGCTGCATTTACAGTGCCACAGGACAGAAGCAATACCAGTGTTCGCATTCATGCTCTGTTGTACAGCAGCCCCATGAGCACTGTATTTGAAACCCTTGTCCTGTTTAATTTTTTCAGCTATGCCGCACACCAGAGAGAATGGAAAGGGTGATTTATCTCCATTTCAGGTATTACCTGAGGCAGGAGGAAATCAATGAGAGGCACAGACACATCCCTGGGGACTTGAGACCAAGGACGCAGCAGAGGTTTCAACCTTGGCCAAGGGAGTGTCCTTTTGTTACCCGAGAACCGGGATGCACTTCACCTCATCGGGTTATGGTTTTAACTATAGTTATTACTTTTGTTTCCATTTATTTAAGGAGCTGTTCCTGGGCTCCTAAGGCAGGAAGCTGGTATGGAAAGACCAGCCGGCACAATATATGACCATGCTTCTAAGGACCTAGAAGGACGCACCAGGCAAAATGATGGAAACAGGAACCAGGTAGGGACTGAGAAACATTTTCCTGAAAACATCCAAAAAACCCCACATCCCTCATCATGCTGGTGACTGGAGTAGGCAAGCTCGGTTCAGAAAGTCAGAAGACATTGCAAGTGACAAAACCCAGGGCCCTTATACAGCAGGAAGATTCAGAAGTAACTCAGACAGCAGAGCTACCGTGCCTTATTTAACCTTTTATGCATATAGTACGGCATGTGCAAGCGCACGTCACATGCATTTATAATGCATGTGTATGCACACACATGCCTCTGAAAACACATGCTGCTGCATACTTCCATGCTAGCCACAGCAACCTACCTCCCTGAAACGTGTGGCAAATATAGTTCCCATACGGGGCACATCTTCCCTTCACAGTTGTGAGTGACATGCCTGAAAACACTGGGTCTTTTTAAATGTCTACAGATAAATTAAGCAGCCCTGCTGCTGCGCTACTTCACTGCAAAGAGAAAAGGCTGTGAAGCTCCACCTGTAATCCAATATAGTACCCCAGCAACAGCATCACATGATCTTATGTTTTGTAAGATTATCTTTAACGGCTTTTTGCAAATGGCAACTTGCAGATAAAAATATGTCATGGCCTGCTAAACTTCAAGGCACTTCGATAAGAACCTGCATGAAGGAAAAACTGCTGTTAGCCACGTGTCTGACTACAATTGCATGAAGGCACTTGGAAAAAAATGACAGTAATAAATGACTGGAATTATATTCTGGAGAATAACAAATAAATTAATAACCCAGACATGCCTGTATATAAAGGATTTGTAAAAAATGCTTTGCTGCAGTATTTCTCTTGGCCAGATCTTAATCTCTGCTTTGGGTGGCCATCTCGCACCACCCATGTTCTGCTCACGTTCATGTGCCTGTTCATGGTGGCACTATTCATCATGAAGAAAATGCCCAACAAATGAGTCACATAAAAATCTGTGATGTGACAACACTGATAAGAATCTTCAAGTAGGAAAATATGTCCTCATTAGTAGTAAATTTAAAATACTGTGTCATTTTAATTAGTGGAATTACTGGGCATGCAAACGCGTGTCTACTCATTATTACGGCAGTGATGTGAAGGAGTAAAATCACTTGGAAAAAAACCAAGAAAATAAATGACCTACTAAATAGCCTACTAAATACAATATATTCCCATGCCGTATATAATTTCAGAATAATTTTAGCTATATTCATTTTTATCATCTGATTTAACAAAACAGGGGCTCTTGGCTTGGATTCATAAAGTCATTAGTTATATCCTCCTAGTATCTCCTTTCAGAAAATCAACATGCTAAAACTTTTCCCTAAATATTCTCTGGCAGTAAAGCTAGATATTTAGTAAAACCATCTGTAACCCCCACTAAAGAATGCCTTGCTTCCAAGAACAATCTTTTTATTTACCATAGTGCCTTGAGCAAATGCTGTCCTCATTCTAGCTGGGTAATTGTTGGAGTCTCATATTTTGCACACCTAAATCATGCCAACACATACTGACACTGTAAAGACCCCAGAAATGGAAGGCACTTCAGGTTAAAACATTCACCCATGCATTTAGCACGAGATTCCTCATTTCATGGCAACTCAATGATTTAAATGCTCGAGTTACAAAAATGTAGCAAATATACATTTGAATGTTAGACTGTCCATATTTTTACTTTACCTGGGACTATTCCATAGATCTCTTCTGCTATCCTGGCAGCCTCTTTTCTGTTGCCTTTAACGATATAGAAATGGGTCAGCAAAGCCAAGGAAATCTTAATTAAAAGCTTGAAGCAAAACAAAGCAAAAATGGCAAAATAAATGTTAGTGAAAGCATGGAGTATAGAACTGCCCTCCATTTTGGTTTGCTCTTTGAATAGTTTCTCAGGTCGGCTAAGTTGCACCAGGCTATTCTTGGTATCATATGTCATCTATTTTAAACCTTCCAGAACCTGCTGTTCCTCAGTCACCAAAAATACATTCTGGTTTTATTTGGTATGGGCTATTTGATCCTAAATAACAATACCAAGGATAAGATAGTTTGAACATCCCGTGCCATACAGGAAACAAACAGAAAATCCTTTCCAAACCCACATGAATTAGAATAAATTTCCAGATAGATGCTCTCCATACCAGCTGAAAGCCTACACATCCACATTATATTTACTCTTTGATGTAGCAGTTCCATTTACAAAGGCTGCATAGGTAAAGCTGCAGAAATTGTTCAGAGATGCTGCAAAAAGAATACTCTTCTGTCTTTCCCGTCTTGGTAACAGGCCTTGCTGGTACTCAGATACAGAACAAAGGCAAGCATATCAAAGAAAAGCATTATCATGAAAGAATCTGAAATAAACCCGCATATTTTCAAAGCCAGGGCTAAGAAGTCAAATTTATTCTAGGAGGGGAAAAAATACATTGAAAATGTGTAATCAGAAACACATGACAACATGCTGGGATTTTCCATCACTCAGGGATAAAGAATGGTGTCCATTAATATGTCTTGCAAACAACATCTTACTGTTTCGAAAGAATGGAAACATTTTTACATTATCCATCACTGAGTCAAAGGTGTAATATTTGAAACCGAAGAAGATGCACCCTTTCTTTAGCTGCCCTTTTTTCTTTCTGAAGGCACATGGCTTCCATAGAGAACAGAGTACTTTTTCTGCGTGTAATTAATTGAAACTATGTAGAATACCCCATCTTCTTTTCATTTAAACTTCCCTTGATTCCTATTTTCCTATATGCACAGCAGGAGGGAGATTTCTTTCTTTCTTTGAATCCCCTCCTTGCCCAGGTTCTCTTACCCTTCAATTTACATACCTGTCAAAGGAAAGAGCAGGATGACTCTCCTCTCTTAGAGCTCCCAAGGACATGGTGGATATGCAGAAGGAAATTTTACAGCAAATTATTTCCAATTTCCAAATTATTTGGACATTTTAGATGCAATTTCTTTTGTTTTGTAGCAATACAGCTGGCTTAGTACCTTGCTGTCTTCAGCACTCTGCCTTCCCAGGTGCACTAGAATGCTATATAAAATACGTGAAAAAAACACCCCAAGCTATTTTTTCATTTTTCAAGTGAACCAGTTTTTCCAAAATCCTGAATTAAACCAAGATACTACATTTTTACCAATAACTTAACACCTTACATAAATATTACCTTTCCTTCCACAGCAAAATAATATACCTACAGAAACTATAACACCTATGAATCCAAAAGAGGAAAATTGCCTATTTTTAGTCACTTTAATGCCGTTTGCCACAGGACAAGACAGCTGAAGACACAGATTACATGGCAAGAGAAGTTCAGTTAAGGAACCAGAGAAAAACAGTTAAGTTTGCTCAACTGGGAAACAAAAAGGAGAAATTAGCAAACAAAGGTGGACCAAAAAAGGGATGATCAGTTAGCCTTAGAAAAATATGAGAGAATGAAAACACTCCTCCTGAAGCCAGAGGAATAGCAAAAGGTGTAAAGAACAGAATATAGAGTGCAGAGAAAAAGAACAAACAGGAAAACAAAAAGATCATTACAAAGAAAAGGTCAGCCTAGATGATGGAGAAATCTTTCTCATATAGGATCTACAAAACTGGCGCTCAATAGGACATAAGCAAGAAGGAACAGCACCTTTTAAGAGAAAGACCAGGAAACAGACTTTTGGTTGCAAAGGAGATCCATTGACCTTCTTTCACAATCAGCCTGCCAGATAGCAGGTAGAATTGTACAAGTCCACAACCCTCGGAAAAATACAAGAAACTGGAGATCAGGTGATTTCCACTGAAATGCTCTTATCCCTAAAGGAAGAAGAAATTCCAATAATACTGAAGAGCTCTCCAGGTGGTCTAAAAAACCGTGAGGAAGTTTGACCACTTGGAAGCAGTCAGAGGAACGTGATCCTTCCAGAAGGACAAGCTCCATTTGTGTAGTAGCAAAATCACCCTCCTGGCTTCAGAACAAGACAACTAAAGATTTTTAGTTAAATGACGGAGTTATTTGAGAAAAGCTCATGTAATCTCTTAATCTGCTCTTAGTGTACAAGAACACTAGGAAAATTACTGCGGCGGATTAAAAAAAAAAATCATCAGTGGGAGGATGGCTGAACAGCATGGTGGGAAGTATTAATACTGGTGAAGGTGGTAGTCAGGCAAGCCGTAGCAAGATCTGGTGTGATCACTCGGAAACATCCGGTATTTCTGAAACTAGAGAAAGGTGAGCAACATAATGTAGGCACGAGAACAGATATAACACAACAGAAGAGCAACGACAACACAGAAACAGGACTCTCATCTTTCCTCCCTCGCTGTATTGGGCAGCATCGTTGTGAGTGGAATGAGGCGGATTACGCAACTCCATCGATAGACTGGAGCGAACAAGTCAGCCCCCCACAGAACAAACATGCCTTATTGAGAACTTCTGCAGGATGCCCAAAGCACTCCATGAATCACTCTAGCTTTCAGCTAGAGTAATTACTAAATTGCCAAATCAAAATATCCAGAAAATATATTAATCCTTCAATAAAATTGTCATGAGATGGTGAATGAATAGAATTAGTTTAGCTAGATCCTCCAAAGAACTGGAAAGCGAATGTTTATATATCCTTAGTTTACAAACATGCAAGGAATAAGCACAAAAGAAAAGGCAGTCCAGCTTAGAAGACAACTCATTTTCACTACGGTTCACCTTAACTTTAGCCAACAGTGAGAAATGTCAGATGTGACCTGAAGAATCTGGCAAGGAAAGATTAGAGGGATCCTCTTCTCAATGAAATTAAAAGAGGTATTGGTCTATTCTCATGCTAGACGCTCTTTGAATTACAGCAGTGTATTTCTAATGTATATAGTTGAGAGCTTGAGTATTCAATATATTCAATCAAAGTAAGGCAACTGGGGGGGAAAAAGAGACAGAACCCCTTTATCTCGAAGGGAAGAGATCAGAACAAAGACGTACAGAGTAAGGCAACTGGGGGGGAAGAAGAGACAGAACCCCTTTATCTCAAAGGGAAGAGATCAGAACAAAGACGTACAGAGAGTCTAGCTATTTCTTTTCTATCAGTTTGATCTAATAAATACTACTTCCCATACAAGCCTTGCCTCATTTGCATCCTTAGGTCAGCACACTTACAACACTCCTGCTTTTAGAAAGGGGCGTATATAGTGACTCACCGCTTGCTCTTGCACAAGCAGATGTGGGATTCGTCTCACCCATCCGCCACCCATCGCACCACCTAAGGTCTGGTTAACTAAACTCCTGCTGCTGCCTGGGCAGGAAGACGGCAAATTCCAGCACGTAATTAATTCCCCTGTCTGCCTCCGACGCCTGTGCCAGCAGGGGTGGCTCCTTCTCTGGATGCTCACCATCAGTCCCTCCCGATTAAACAACCAGCTTGAAGAACTAGTGCCTACTAGACCAGCGCATAACCAGCTTATACACGCTTAAAGTTCAGTGAATCCCACACAAATGTCGCCTCCAGAGTTATGCCAGTGTTGAAGCAAGTCAGAATCTGAAAACAATACAATCTACCTGTTAAGTTCACAAGAAAAATGCATGATTTCAGCTCAATGGTAAATTCAGATGTATAACTGCATCTTGCCTTTAGTTTTCTTCCCTTGACAAAAAATACCCACCTTTTATCTGACTACGTCAATGCTGAAGTATTAGGAAAAACTGTGGAAGTCAGCGTACTACTGAGATAAAAGTAGTAAAATACTGTAAAAGATGTAAATTTACAGTAAATTTACAGTAAAATACTGTAAAAGATGTACAGCAAATGTGCCGAGACTAGTTTAACGATAGCAAATCAAACATTAAAAATATTCAAGTATTTTTTAATTAAAAAAAAAAAGTTCGTAAAACCATTTTCTGTTGAGATTGATTGCTCTTATATCTATTTACATAAGGTCTGTATTTTACTGGAGCATCAGAAAGATGCAATTTTACAATTATTTGTTTATAAGCCTAAGCACATATGGAAAAAAGGACTAGCGAAGAGAAATAAATATCAAAAGGGGAAAAATAAGTTTATTTTTAAACGATGCAGAAAAACTTGACCACAAAAATAAGTACATTACAGTGTAGTTACCTTCTCACAGATCTCTCCACATCCCCTAAAACACAATCTGAAAGATGAATCATATTCATACTTTACATGATACTTGTTCGGGTTTAACATACAATTTTCAATTATCAACACGCTGTCTATACCTTAATTCACAGTGTCTGCCTATCACGTATTGGAAACACAATTTCTCCTTGTGCCTGCGGGACGGAATTTCACTGCAGGTCAACGGTCCCTTCTATGACAGGGGGGGACCTTCTGTATAGAAGGCTTTTGGGTGTTCCCTCCTCCTCCACACAGGAGTCTGTGCTCCATCCAAGACGTAACTCAGTTAGTATCACTCTCTCTTTGGTAACATTTCCTTAGTATTTGACAATGATCAAATGTTACCTACAAGCACAACGGAAACATTTTAGTTTTTAAATAGTTACTTTATTCATTTCTCAATACATATTCCTAAAATACACTCATTCTCTCTGTTTTTTTAATTATTGCAATTATTTTATTTAAACTTTTCCATTTCACCCACTGATGCTTTTTAAAACTGTGAATGATTCAGTGACATCATCCCTCACTCCACTGCACAAGGCTGGTAAGTGAATCAGTCCCGCAAGAGTTACACACAATGCAAGTTGCATTACTTGAGGAACAGCATATTTGTAGTTAAACCAGTTATGGATTAAATTTTTGTGGCAGCTTGTGCAGAATGTTTTTTAATCATCACCTTTCTCATAAGAAGTCCAACCACCAGTGATGGGAAGCAGCAATATGGAGTATATTTCTGTACTTTCTAATTGTATGTTCCCACATATTAATAAAAAAATG